AGTTTTGTATGTGATTGAAGTTACCAGCTTAAAATGGACTGCTTTATCTATGATATGTAGGCCTCATGGTAACCACAAAGCAAAAGCACACATTCATAAAAGAGGAAGAAAGAAAAACAGAGCATACCACCATGGAAAATCACCAATTAACAAAGGAAGGGAGAAACAGAGGGAAAAAGAAATAATGAAAATACAAAACAACCAGTAAGCAATTAATAAGATGACATTATTATTAAGTCCTTACATGTCAATAAATACTCTAAATATAAGTGGACTGAATTTACCAATAAAAAGGCACAGAGTGGCTAGATGGATAAAAAAAATCAAGACCCAAATATTGCACCCTACAATACTCAATTCAGATTTACAGACACACACAGGCTCTACTGAAGGTATGGAAAAGATATTACAAATGGAAACCAACAGAAAGCAGGTGTAGCTATACAGGTATCAGATAAAATAGACTTTAGGCCAAAAACAAGAGACAAAGAAGCTCATTATATATGTTCATCAGGAACACATAACAATTATAAATCTATACCTATCCAACATTGGAACACCTAAATATATTAAGTAAACGCTAACAGAACTGAAGGGAGAAATAGACAATATAACAGGGGACTTCACTGCCCCCACCTTAAGCAATGAATAGATCATCCAAACAAAAAAATCAAAAAAGAAACACTGGACTTGAACCATACATTAGATCAAATGGACCTAACAGATGTTTAACGGATATAAATTCATTCCAACCACAATAGCAAAATACACATTCCTCTCAAGTGCACACAGAACATTTTCCACATCATATCACATGATGGGCCATAAAACAAGTCTTAGCAAATTTAAGAAGACTGAAATCATACCACATATCTTTTCCAACCACAATGGTAAAAAACTAGACATTAACACAAGAAGAAAGCTGGGAAATCTACAGATATGTGGAAATTAACACATCCCTGAACAATCAATGGGTCAAAGAAAAATCTAAAAATTATCTCAAAACAAATGAACACAATATACTAAAACCTATGGGAAACCTACTGCTAAAGCAGTTCTAAAAGGGAAATTCATAGCAATAAATGTATATATTACATAAATAGAAAGATCTTAAATAACCCACTTTACACCTCAAGGAACCAGAAAAAGATGAACAAACTAAGACCAAAGTTCACAGAAGGAAAGAAATAACAAAGATCACAGTGGAAATAACAGACCATGAGAACAATAGAAAGGATCAATGAAACAGAGCTGGTTTTTGAACAAAACTGACAAACCTTTAGCTAATCTAAGAAAAAAAAAAGATTCAAATAAAATCAGAAATGAAAGAGGAACATTACAACTGAACCACAGATATATACAGGATAATAAAAGACAGTATAAACAATTATATGCCAACAAATTGAATAACCTAAAATAAATGGATAAATTCCTAGAAACATATACCCTACGAAGACTGAAGGATGAAACAGAAAAGGTGAACATTCAAATGAGTAAGGAGATTAAATCAGCAATCAAAAACCTCCCAACATAAAAATGCCCAGGACCAGATGGCTTCACTGGAGAATTCTAGCAAAGAGTTGAAGAAAAATTACCACTAAACCTTCGCAAACTCTTCCAAATTATTGAAGAGGAGTGAACGCTCCCCAACTCATTTTATGAGGCCAGTATTATCTTGATAATGAAAGCCAGACGAGGACACTACAAGAAAACTAAACTACAGGCCAATATCCCTGATGAATATAGATGCAAAAGTTCTCAACAAGATATCAGCAAACAGAAGTCAACAATATATTAAAAAGATTTTACAACATGACCACGTGGGATTTATCCCTGGGATGCGAGAATGGTTTGATGTACACAAAAGAATAAACATGATACACCACATTAACAGAATAAGAGATAATAAAAACATATGATCATCTCAATAGATGCAGAAAAATTTGACAAAATATAATATCCTTCCATGATAAAACTCCTCAACAAATTAGGTATAGAAGGAAAATACTTCAACATAATAAAGGCCATAAACAACAAATCCACAGCTAATATCATATTTAATGATAAAAGATTGAAAGCTTTTATTCTATGATCAGAAACAAGACAAGGGTGCCTACTTTCACCACTCTTATTCATCACTGTACTGAAAGTATAAGCCATAGCATTTAGGCAAGACAAAGAAATAAAAGGCATCCAACTCAGAAAGGAAGAAGTAAAATTGTCATTATTTGCAGATGATATTATCTTATATATAGAAAATCCTAAAGACTCAAAAAACTGTTGGAATTAATCAACAAATTCAGTAAAGACACAGAATATAAAATTAATATACAGAAATCAGTTGCATTTCTATTCATTAACAATGAAACATCTGAAAAGAAATAAAGAAAACTATCCCATTCACAACATTATCAAAAACAATAAAATAATTTAGAATAAATTTAACTGAGGAAGTGAAAGATCTGTACACTGAAAACTACAAGACTTTGATGAAATTAATTGAAAAGACAAACAAATGGAAAAATATCCCATGTTCATGAACTGGAAGAATTAATATTGTTAAAATGTCTATATTACCCAAAGCCACTTATGGTCTTGAAATTTATTGCTCCTCTGTCACCCTGCAGGGTCAGCTCCATCTCCCAACCCCATTTTTTTCAAGCCCCTACACATAAATCTCCTGGATCCACCCTCCTTCCACCTCTACCTCCACTCTAGGCAAGAACTCCCTCAATGTCCTACCCTCCAGTAGCAAATGTATCTATGCTGCCAACCATCATGACATCTTTCTTCTTAGGTCAGAAGAAGGAGCATGATTCCTCCTACACAATTAATATTAAAATGATAACAGGGACACTCATGATGCTCCATTTGTGCTCTAGACCCCTTCTTCTCCTCCTTTCTTTGGTCCATTAATCCTTCTCCTCCCCAGCTTCTCCATTATCTCCTTCCCCTCAAAATCAAGTCTAAAACTTCCATTTCCAGCCAAGATAGAGAAACAGTGAGATTTACTCTTCCACTTGAAACAATTTTTAAAAAAGCCAAAATATATACACGCTTTCCAGACACTGGACATCAGACAACAAAAGACATGATGGCTGAAAGACAGGCAATTAGGAAATAGTTCTGTAACTGTCCTTTGGTCATATCTTTGAGAGCATCTCAACATGACCACGTTGGCAATAAAGGAAATAGTTCTGTAACTGTCCTTTGCTCATATCTTTGAGAGCATCTCCAAGCTGCAGCATAGGGAGGGGAACCCAGGTGGAGCATGGTGGAGCTGAGAGTCTTAAAAGACCAAGCTGATGAAAATCCACAGGAACAGAAGGAGAGGGCTGCAGAGAACTCAGGAGATTTACAAGGGGTCCCACTTGAGTATTCAGCAGAGTACTTAAGAGCACATGTGTGTGATGAAACTACTAGAGGCTGGGGAAAGAACCACCTGAAAGCATGAAAGAGAACAGTAACCTGAGCTCCCACAGGGCTGGTATGTTTGTGGGACACATATGTTCACTCCATGGCAAAACCTAATAAGCAAAGAAATACCATAATTAAGTTGGACCTGTAATCTGAGAAGTACCACAAGCCAACAGAACTAAAAAGACAGCATCTTTTATATAGAAACTACTCCATACATGTTGGTGATATAAGTTCATGCAGAGGGTGGCAGAGGTGGGGGAAGGAGAATATTACTATATAGAATATTACCTTCTTACTACCAGAAACCAGTGAGCATTCAGTAAGACACGATCCCTGCCCTTGAGTGCCATATCATAGTCTTCAAAACAGACTCATCAGTCAAATTCCTCCCTAAAATACTCCAGCTTTTTGCCAGGAATCAGCTAAAAGGTCCCCTCCTTGAAAAGGCTTTCTTTCATCACTCTAAAGCTCCGGAGTGACCCACTTTCCTTTCTTTATGGTACTTTTCACAATTTCTAATTATCATCTATTATTATTATATGATTATGGTTACTTATTACTATTATTTTCTCCCATGCACATTTAGAATATGAGCTCCATTAAGTGAAGAAATCATAACTGTTGACTTCACCACTGTATCACTGGTGACTAGCACAGTATGTAACCATTGTAGGCACTCAAATTCTTATTGAATTAATGAAAACAAGGACTATGACCATAAGTTTCCTGATGATACAAGCTAGTTAGCCCCAAATCTCTTAGCTATGAAGGAATATACTAAGTACTCACCTCTACCTGAGTAACATTGATGACCAGCACCACCACCATCAACAGTGCAAGCAGACAGCAGAAAAGTCGTAGTCTGAAGAAAGTGATCCACATTATCTGGCTGTGTCTTGATCACCCATGGCTGACACCATGCTACTTTCACTCCTCAAAACTCCATGTCTTTATTTTTCTGAGCTGCAGATGAGCTTTCAGTTTAATCTGCTTCTTTTCTGCTCGTATCCTTAAGAGTTTTTCATATAAAGGAGAGCCTGGGGTTGAGTTGAGAAGCACATGTTTCTTCAAAGGACTCCTTCACAGAAGGGAGATGAGAGAACAGATCACCAATTGTAACAGTCTAGGATGGGGTAAGAAGAAAGATACCACCTTTTCTCTTCTTTAACCTTATCGAAGGCCCAAAGTCATGGGGAGAAAGCAAAGAGCCAGAGCACAGGAATATCTATTCCACATCCAAGGAATTTACTCAAACCCAACCCCAAGCTTCTATGTAAATACAATGATATTGGTCCTACTATCTATTCAGGTTTTAACTTTTAAGAGAGCAGTGAAGAATGTCTTCAAACTATTAGAAATTGCAACATCAAAGTAACTGTTAAATTTCTACAAAAGTCTAAGTAAATAAAATCACTTCCCTTCCTTAAAGTTCAAATTATATAACATTACTAGAGTAATTATATTTAAAGAGCATTAAGAGAAAACCTTGTGATTTTATGAGAAGTTCTGGGATACTGTGCAAACCAACTTGACATCCTCTGAAACACAGAGTGCCATCCTTCTGAATGGCAGAAGACAGGAAATACTCTTTAGGTCTCTAGCTCCCCCACCACATATGTGGTCCTGATGCTCCCTCAGCTGAGTAACAAGACACAGGAGGAGAGACACCTGCCTTGAAGATTTAGGAGAGGAAAGTTAAGCTTGAGTAGCTACAGGACACCCAAATCCTCATCACATCTGCTAGAGCAGAGGACTTCACAGTCTGTCACTCCGAGCTGTTCTCCCACATAATGAATTAAAAATGTTCTCTCTAGTTGCTTTTTTGATAAAGGTAAACAGAGAAAGTGCTAGTATTTTTTTTTCCCAGCAAGGCTTTCCGTGGAGGGCAGGATGGAGAAGTAAAGGTGGCAAGGGTGTACAGTCATGGTGCAAAGGATCTCAGAATAATTCAACTGCACCAACACTCCCTGCAACTTTGGCTTGGATCTGACAAGCCCCCTATTCTCTTTCTCATCTACTCCCCGTCTAATCCATCCCCACGCCACAACAACCTTTCCTCACCCCACCTTCATAAAGGAGACAAGGCTCCACTATTGCAATATACTCTCCATCCTCAAAATTACCACAGCATTAGTATTGTCACTACTCAGCTAATCTCTGTATTTGTCTGCCCAATTATACAAATTATGACTATATTTAAAAAAAAAAAAAAGAAACCATATATCAGAGAAAAAAACAACTTAATGATAACAATGAATCATACTTTTTTGATTCTCTCACAATAGTTAACTCTGTACATGATATACGTTAATTCCACGCAACAAATAATTATGGAGGCCTAATTCTGTACTGAACACTATACTAAATGCCAGAAATTCCCCTAGAAAAGCTTACACTCATGTAAGGCAAGCAGTAGTTACTCTCCTAAATTAAAGGAGAATAAATCTTCCATTCCTGGCTACCTTCACAGGGATGCCAGGTACTGTGAAAGACAGCACTTAACCATTTCATGGCCGCCCAACACTGCCCCTCTCCAACACCCAGGCACCCATCCACCCTGTAAATTCTGGGAAGAAAATGGCTGTGAAATAAAAAGAAATAATTTCCTCACCAGGGCCCCAACTGCTCTTCAAAGAGTTGGCCATAAGAATCAGGACTCCCTGATGGCCAGAGAGGAAAAACCCCAGACATGAGGCTCTGGGGGCGTTCAGCTGCACCATGGTAGGCATGGCCTATTTACTGTGTGAACACCATCAGTTTAAAGGATGTCAGTATGGTTCAGAGCCAGTGAGTAAGCAGCACAGCAGCAGTGAGGGATACAGAAGGAGGGCAAAAGCAGGAGACCTCGAAGCTAAGGGAACTATAGGGCTATAGGCAACAATGAAAATATGCAAGAAGCCATTCATGGCCAAGGACTTCTACTGAAAATCGTATGGAGGGTCATGCCAGGAAAAGACTTGACTTCCTACTATGAGCAAGTAGTGCATTAAGATTTGAGAGACCATTTGTATATCTAAATAGATGTAGCCTGAGGAGCACAATCAGATAGACCTCTCTTTGAAAAGACATATACTAAAATGTTGATAGTTGTCACCTCTGGGCAGTTTTCATTTTCCTCCTTCATCTTTATCTTTATGTTCTAATTTTTAACCAGGAAAGAAAAATCGCAAATATAAAGAATATAGGTGGTTTTTAACAGTAATAATTAAAGACAAAACATAAGAGAAATGAAGCATTAAATCAGATATAGGAAAACAATTCAATTTAAAACGAAAGACTTCAAAGTAAAAGAAGAAATAGGTGATAGGTTTCCGTTATTTTCCTACAAATATTAAACCTAGGCATTATAACAAGAAGAGAGAGGGAAAATATCCTTTAGTATCTCAAATTGCCTTAGAATGGAATAAGAACAATAGTCCCGAATGAGAATGACTCTAGAAAAAATTCTCCTAGATCAACAACAAAAAAAGATTAAATATATAATTTAACTTAATTTAATTTACCTGTTTTGAAAATTTCCAGTCCCCAAGGAGAGATGCTTATTAGAACCAAGAAATAAGAGTTTCATCTAAGTTTCCCTCCTAAGTGTAAAATCCTAAACTCAAGTAATCGTGATAGTAGCCCTTATTCTTTTCTTGCCACGTTCAATGCACATGTTGATGTTTTTTTCATTTTTATACTACTCTTCTTGCTGCAACAGAGGCAAGGTTACAGGTTAAAGATACTGAAAATGAAGTAAAGGAAAACATATCCGATATCAAGGCTACAATTTTATAGCACAGAAATGTAACACAGACTTTAGTACAACAAAGTGAGAGCAGTGGGGATAGGAACATTTCCTTTCCTACCAATAAAAAATGGTAACTGGCTGTTTATATACATAAACTTAAACATGGCAAGTCACTCTCAGATCTGAGCTAAAGGTCAAAACTTTATAAATAGCAATATAACTGAAAAAAATATAAACCAAAGATATAAGCTTCAAATGTTATTTTTTGTAAAGGCTAGAATAATCATGTAGTTCAACGATTCATTCTACCACTACAGAAAACAAGAGACATCTAGGCAGATCTAAAAATTATGATTACTCCAATTTAAACTTGAGCAGTCTTATTTTCAAATCTTTCTGAAGTGTCAGTCCACCACTTACTCATACTTCATATTTATTTTCAAAGGACAAGCAAAAAGTAAAATGCATGGTTTGTTTTGCCAAATTTTGATTAAGACTACTTACCAGTCAATCTAATTTTTTTATGGCCTGTGGCAATAAAAGACTGCCATTAGGTACCTGACTTCCTGTCCATTATCTCACAAGAGAATTACAAAGTGATTGCTCACATCACTTGGAACTGCAATTGTTAATAACACAAATGAAATACTTAAGTTCAGTACTAAACAGGAAATGAGGCAGCAACCCCGTCCTCTGGGGAGCTAATGTTCTTAGACAATCATTTCGCAAAGAATATTTTTAGAGGACAACCATACATTCAGTTTCTGGGACAGTCCCCATCCTAAATACTCTGACTTGCTATTCACATAAATGTAATTTTACTTATCAGAGCAAGTGTCTGGAATTTTAATTCAGAATACATGGACCCTTATGTAAAAGAGCACAGATTTATATAGAATATACCCAAACTTAAATATTGATATCTAAACTTTCCAAAGAGCAGCTGTATTTTTCATAGGGTGCTGAGTAAGACCTTGAAACTTAATCGAGCAGGGCCTACAGAGAGAAACAGAGACTCATCCCAGACAGTAACAATGATGGGTCAACCAAATAAGGTCAACCCTTGGACAAAGATGAAGCAGGGACATCTGCAGGACTTGCTTCCCCAGATCCCATTTCTTCTTCATTCACCTCTACCTCATATGCCCAAAGAGCTGACTCATCTGGGCCTTCCCTTGCTTTTCTTCCAAAGCAGGGGCCCATGCTTTCATGGTGGGTGGGGAGAGGTAGACAAGTAAATATATCAGTTAAATAAGTCACAGAGTAGTAAGTGCTATAAGAAAAAATAGAGCATGCTGATAGATAATGGCCTTCAACCTTGCATGCCCATTAATACCATCATGAAAGCTTTTAAAAATGCCAGTATCTGGACTACATCCGACCAATTGAATCAGACAGAATCTGTGGGAGTAGGTCCCAAAAAACAGCTTTTTAAAATGGTCTCCAGATGATTACAATGTACAGCCAGGTAGGAGAACCATTAGAAAGGGTGGCCAGAGAGTGTTATTTGTATAAGTTGGTCAGGGATGGCCTTTCCGAAATGATGTTTGAATTGTAATTGACATTGTCCCCTCAGGACAACCCAATTACGGGGCAGAAGGGACAGCCAACCCCCCGTTAGTTATCTATCCTTTTGTTTCCCTTCTCAGTAACACACAAAGCACTTTATCAGGCCCACAGAAATCCTGAGGATAACAGACATGGACAGAAGATATTAAACAGTCAAAAGAAAACAGAACCCAAACACTGTGGAGGAAGTGTGCTACGCCTCCACTGCGGAATCAGACAATTGGGGTCTGGGAGTCCCGCCAGCTTCAAGCACACCCTGATGTTCCAAGTGATAATTAACCACAGTGAGAAGTGGGGAGAGCCATCAGGGCAGTGTGGTTCTTTATCTTTAGGAAATTTAACTGTTCCTTTAGAGTAAATAATGAAAAGCAAGGAAAATTTTAGACAGGCAATTACACATCTTTTTTAAAAAAATACTGCCTGAGACTCCCTCTTACCACTACTCTACTTCTGGCCTGTGATCAAGCGGAGATTGGCAACAGGCCAGCGTCTCTCAATCACACCTTATAAAGTCACACTCGTTTCTCCCCGTACGACCTGAATTTGATGTCAGTAAGGCCAGATCAGTCCAGTGTGAGAGCACCGCCAGCCAAGAGGCAGCTGGTGCCCAGAGCAATGATGAGACGGAAGTTAGAGCTGAAAGAGGAGGCGACGCCAAGTGCTCTGCACTGGGTCAAGGAAGGTGTCAGGGGGAGGGATCTTCGGCGTCTGTCAAGGGGTCTGGCTCCGCCAAGCTAAGGCTGCACCTGCCCACGCTGCAGCAAGTGGAGAAAACTGAGGGAGATGCTCGCGCCCAGCCCCGCCCCCTACCTGCCGGGACCTGCCTCGGCTGGGAGATTCAGATCCGCTGCGGCAGCCAAGGGCTCCAACTCTGCCCCTGCCATGGGCTGGAGCATCTCCTTCCAGGCGCCAACGCCCCCAGCCGTGTCCCCAGCGGCTGCACCTCCTCCGCACCAAAGCCGGGGACGGGGAGTCAGGAGCCGGCGCGCGCGGAAGGAAGGGCTTCGAAGCCGAGAGGGGAGCGCGAGGCCGGGGAATGGGTTGCTCGGGCGGCAGCAGCCCGGTCCCGCACCCAACCTGCAAGTCTGCACTCACCTCCGGATCCGGCCTGCCGCTATACGTTCCCTCGCGGCTAGAGACACACACGTCCTGGTCAATCGCAGCTGCGCCAGGCCGCCCGGCCCCTGCTTCCTGGACCCACTGTGTCTCCTAAGCCCCGACCCCCGGCTACGATTCGTCGAGCTCCGGGAGGGGCGGGCCGAAGACGCTGACTGACAGCTGCAGGGGCCGAGCGTGGAACACCGAGCACAGAGCCCAGCACCGGAGTGCCCAGCGCGCTCAGTGCCGCGCGGATCCTGCGCGCCAGAGCGTGCCGCAGCTGTCGCCCTGTGGCCCCAACTCTAGGCCCTCTCCGGACCCAGTGCCTATCGCCTTCGGACGTCAGGGTTTCCCAAGGGAGCATCCGTTTCAAGGCTTTTTTTTTTGTCAGCGAAGTGACCAAAACGGAGATGCACGTACTTGGGCCATCTTTCCTCTCAGTGGTGAAATTTAGTGTTCCTTGTAGCAGAGAAACACGATTTGCAAAGCACGAGCACGGAGACAACTGGTCTCTTGACTCTTTCCTTGCTTGCAATTAGTCGTCTTATTCTTCAATTCGCCCTTGAAGTGGCCCTCCCTATTACTTTGACTCTCCTTGTACAAGACGTGGGTCTTCTGGCAAATGCGCCTCAACATTTTTAACCCCGGTTCTGGGTTTTCCTGTTGTGGACATTGTTTAAATCTAACCAGTAAAACGTCCTACGTGAAATGCAGGAACTGAGAGGAGTCCTTAGAAGACAGACAAGCTCTTGCTCAGGAAGCAGAAAAGGACCATTCAGCTCAGAGCACAGTGCGGTTAACCGAATTTATCCAAGCAAAACGCAGGCTCTAAAAGTAAACTTGACCCCAGACTATTATCTCAAGGTTGAGGAAAAATAATTAATATGAATTACAACTAACATTAATTATTTTTACATTTATTGACCACAGTGGATCTACGTGCTTATTTAGATGTTTTCATGGCAGGACTACAGGCATGGGTGATCAGACTCATGAATTAAGTAAAAGGAGGTTCTACATAGGACAGTGTCTTCTGGAGTAACAATTTCATTCTGTTATTCCTCAAGGATATTCAGTCTTCCAAGGCCTTTTGGAATCATGAAAAGTGGCTTCCATTGCTCTGTACCTGATGATGAAGAGCCCCATATGATAGACTTTTGCTCTGATTAAGTTCTGTCTCCCAGTGGATGTACTCCCAGCCACTTACCTTTCACAGTTTGGCTGTCTGGCAAAATGGCAAATACTTAAACAGGACATACTGACTTCTAGGTCATGGTTTTGGACTGCATTAGTTAATGATCTTTATTAACCTCCATTCACACAGGCAGTCATAATACTGAGGAATTTGAGTACTCTTACATGTGTTTTACAGTCATTATAGCCACAAACAAGAGTGGTTGGGACCAAAGAAGCCTGTCCATCACTACTAGATTTTTAAAAGTTCTCTAACTACAAAGTAACTACACTCCCAATGCAGAATGCTACTGTTCAAAGAATATGCACTTTTGGATCCTAGCCTGCCTGGGATTGATCCACAGCTTTGCCTCTTACTAGCAGTGTCATCTTAGGCAAATTACTTCTCTGAGTTAATTTTCTCAACTAAATTAGGGGCAACACCGCCTGTGTTACCAGACAAAAAAGGGGTCTGCGCACCTCTAAGCCAATGAAGAGATACGTGCAGGTTTTGCAGCAAAGAAAGTATATTAGAGAGTTGCAAGTCCCAGAGACACAGGCAAGCTATCGCTCAAAGGCCTGGCTCCCCAGTGTCTCAGGAATACAGATTACATAGGGGAAAATCAGTAATCATGGAAACTAGGAGTTAGGGTTGTGGGTGCTACTGATTGGACAGTTGGAGAGGGATGAGGTAATTGATCATTGTGTTTGATTTCGGAATGAGCCACAGGCCACCACATATGGTCCCGTGGTCAGTGGGTATGTTGTTCTGCTTCGATTGGCCTAGGGTTGAAACACATCCAAGCCAAGATGTTATCCTTAATCTAATGTCCAGCTGAAACCTATTGTCCTCATGATTATGGGCCTGAAGCTCAGTTAATCTTATGTCCTGAGACTTAATAATTAAAGTAGCAGGCATACAGAGGTTAAAGGCAGAAAGAAGCAAGTGAGTCACAATGCTGTTAGCTGGGCAAAACCAGCTTGAATCAGAGAAAAAAAATATACTTTAGAGAAATGAAATTTCTCTGCAATTACATCTGCACTTAGGAATAAATGAGATGACAAGTTAAAAGTGCCTAGCACGTGTCCCAGATCTCTTCCTCTTGAATTTCCTATCTCAGGTTATGACATAGCATGACAAATTTGTAAATGTTGCATATAGGATAACCTAACTTTGAGAGCTGGGGAAAAAATGAGAACATAAGGTTTGTATGTCATGATATAAAACCCAAGGAACCTGTCATTTCTGACCCGTCTAAAAAAACATGATTTAGATGCTAATGTTACTAAACTTTATTTCTTTCAGCAAAACAAAGTTTGGATCTTAAGGTTAGATAAGTAAAAGCAAATTAAATCTGTTTCTGATGCAATTAACTTGGAGGACATTCACAAGCAAGTCTAGCGCTGTCTCTGGTAGCAGAAGCTTGGGGCACAAGCACTCCTGAGCCCATGTCAGTTCCTGATATAGTTTCTTTGCTTTCCTCCCTTGGAAAAAAGTGACTGAAATTTGGTCCTCCAAAACCATCAAACCATTGTTCAAAATAAATGACTGCTGTCACATTAGGTACCAACCACCCTATTCCAAAAACCGTGAACCACGAGAGGATTCTGACAAGGGTAGGAGACTGGAAGGAAGAAGTATTTTGGTGACTGTATTAGTCTGCTTAGGTTGCCATAATAAAATACCATAGACTCAGTGGCTTAAATAACAGAAATCTATTTCTCTCAGTTCTGGGGGCTGGAAGTCACAGATCAAGGTGCCAGCTGATTCAGTTTCTGGTGAGAGTTCTCTTTCTGGCTTGTAGATAAACACCTTCTCACTGTGTTCTCACATGACAGGGAGGAAATGAGAACTCTCTGGTGTCTCTTCCTCCTCTTAAAAAAACACCAATCTATCAGAATAGGGCCCGATACTTATGACCTCGTTTCACTTTAATCGTCTCGTGCTAGGAAAGTCTTTTGCATGAAGTCTTTCATGCACACAGCCTTGGCCTGGAACACTTACCAAGAGATAAGAGTCCTCACAGCTAGCCCTTGCCTTGTGTGGGAACATCTTTCCCTGTTTCTAACTCAATGAGCATTACTTTGTTCTGCTTAAGAGACACCAGAGAGATCCCTCGCCACTTCCACCATGCGAGTACACAGTGAGAAAGAAGATGACCATCAATGAATCAGGAAGGTAGCTTTCACCACTGAATCTGCTGGTATCTTGATCTTGGATTTCCCAGTCTCCAGAACTGGAAATAAATTTCTGTTTATAAGCCACCCAATCTGTGATATTGTTATAGCAGCTCAAATAGACTAAGACATACTATACAGTCAGAACAGTTTCCCAAAGTTACTTAGGTCAGTAGTCCCCAACTTTTTTGACAATAGGGGACCGGTACTCCTATGAAAATCTAATATCTGATGATCTGAGATGGAGCTGAAGCAGTGAGGCTAGCGCTGGGGAGCGGCTGCAAATACAGATGAAGCTTCACCAGTTTGCCACTTACCTCCTACTGTGCAGCCTAGTTCCTAACAGCCCACAGACCAGTACCGGTCTGTGGTCTGGGTGTTGAGGATCCCTGACTTAGGTCATCTCCCCTTTAGTGAGTTTATGCCAAACATTTGTAATACAGTTAGATTCATTTATCATATCCACATTCCATCTTTAGATCCCTTGACATCCCAGTTACGATTTGGGGGGCGGGGAAGGGGTGTTAAATTTGTGTAAAGCTTCAGTCTTTGTGTACTATTCTATGGGTTTTGACAAATATATAGGATTTTGTGTACCCACAATGACAGCACTATACAGAATAGTTCATTGCCCTAAAAATTACCCTTCCTCAACTCCTGGCAACCACTCATCTGTTTTCTCTCCCTATAGTGTTGCCTTTTCCAGAAAGTCATATTAAATGTAATTATATAATATGTACTTCTAAGATTTTGATTATCAGATTATCAGTTTGGAAACCATTACTCTTGCTAATTCAGGTACTATCTGAAACAAGGACCAACATCCATTTGACTACCAAATTGGGAGTTAGCTTCAATATAGTACATTTTAAAAGTCCATATCATCTCAGCTCTGCATGTTAGATTATCTAAATTTGGAAGAATCTTGTTTGAGGTGCAAAAATATTTTCTTTACTTTCAAAGACAAATGAAAAAGTACAAGAAAAGCTTTGTTATTCTGCTGACTTGCTTTCATTCCCTTTCTGAAGCATGTACTTCCATTCCCACTGGTTTGAGTTCTGTTTGTTTTCAAACCAGTTTATACCACATATATTATTGTAATTATATAATATAATTATCTATTACATGAAACTTTTAAATCAAGTGTAAAAAGAGAACGTAGTCTTAGAAAACAATGTCGAGTGCTTTGGAAAGACTCAAAAGTGAATTGCTTAAAAGTGTAAAACAAAAAACAAGAAAATGATTAAAG